AGGATGGGAGAAGTGTGCTGAAAGTAGATAAAGGACCAATTCTGATAGCATCTCAGTATCTGTATTGCAAACCATAATTCCCAAAATAGAGAGAGAGTATAGGGGAGACTGTCTGCCATGGAGGCATGTCTGCCATGGGAGGGATGGAAAGGGAGGGGTATGCTGGGGCCATTGGTGGTGGAGAATGTGCACTGGTGGAGGAATAGGTGTTTGATCATTGTATGCTTGAAACTCAGACATGAAAACTTGTAACTGTATTGCACGGTGATTCAATAATAAAAAAATTTTTTAAATTTAAAAGCTTAAGCTGCTAAAAAGAGACAGTAGAACCATATTGTTTAGCAGTGTTTCTATGGGTCTGGTTTTTAGAAAGTAGCTCAAATGGGAGTTTTGGCTTGGGATACTTCAGGAGGTGATAGTCAGGATGAAGGACTCATGGCATCATCTAGGGACCCATCTGGGCTGGGAGGACATGTTTATTGATGGTTGTCTGTGTTGTTTTGGGGGCCTCCTGGCACAGAAACTCACTTTTCCCAGAACAAAGAGTGATACAGGAAATCCAGAAAATAGTCAGCATGTCTTTATGGTCTAGCTTCTTGTTCACATTCTGTTTACCTTTTGGTAGGAGGTGGGAGCACACCCAGCAATGCTTAGGCTTACTTCTAGCTCTGTGCTCAGGCAATCACTCTGGGTAAGGCTCAGAGGACCAGATATGCTGCCAAGTACTGAACTCGGGTCAGTCACATGCAAGGCAAGCACCTTCCTCACTATGCAATTTCTCCAACCCACTTGTTTCCCTGTCTTAATGAAGGCGACATAGGTTTGTAAGAATGTACGTGATTGGGGTGTAGAGTCCCTGTCTCTTCACCATTCCCACAAATCAAGTCACAATGTCCCATACTGCCCTTCATTAGCACCTTCCAGCTGCCAACCACCACCCCCAACCCTCTGCCCCTTGGGTAACCTCATTTCTGTGGGCAGAATCCAAGGGTTTGTTTTCAGTTAGCTCTGTCTGTTCCTGGCTTTGTTTTTTCATATCTCACATATGAGTCAGATCATTCAGTGTTTGTCTTTCTCCTTCTGACTGACTGTTCAGCCTGACCCCCTCCAGTTCCATCCATGGTGTTACAAGGAGCAAGATTTTGTGTTTTTGTATAGCTGAGGAGTCCACCACGCCTTCTTTATCTGCATGTCTATTACACTTGGGCTATTCCCATATCTTAGCTATTGTAACATTCACTGAACACAAGTCCATGTACATTTTTCTGAAGTTTTCCCTCTATGGGGTGGAGTTATACCTACTGGTTCCCAGGGGCTACTTCTGAGTTGACTTGATGTTCAGAGTTGTTCCCAGAAGTACCTAGGGAATCATACGGTTCTGAGGATTGAAATCAGGTCTCCCACATGCAAATAAGGCACTCCATCCCTTTAAGCTCTCTCATGAGTCCCCAGATTCTTATTTTTGTGACCTAAGAGCATAATTGGGAGGAATCATACAGTAGAGCTACATTTTAGATTTTGAAAAATTTCCCTCTTCTTTTCCATAAAGGCTGTTACATCAACACTGTACCAAGGTTAGTTTTTCTCTGCACCCTCACCAGTACATGCTACTTCTAGCATTTTTGCTTTGGGTCTGGCCTAAATTTTCAAAGTCTATTATTCCCAAGTCAGTGTCTTGCTTACAAAGTCAACTTTAGTGGTCCAGAAGAGGATTAGTATCATTAATAGGGCATGGGGATTGTTAAGGAGAATCTATGACAAGATTCTGTTGATAAAACTGACCAATACCATTAGGTATCAATTTCTGAGGTCCCATGAGCACCCCAAAACCCACACAATGCCCCAGAGTCTCTAAGAACTTGTGCATCAAATCAGGTAGTCCAGTAGAACTTCCTGAGTCCTATACCCAATGCAGTCTCTATCTAAAGGAAAGGGGTGTCTTTTCCTAAACTTTACACAAGTTCACTTGAGAGACTAAAATATACTGACACTAAAAAAAAATAACAAGAGTAGAATTTAAACAGTCACAAAACTTTAATTATGAGACCAAGTCTATAAACCCTGAAAGAATATGAGACTTTTGAGACATAACTTGGAGACCATTTATAGGGAGTTTACATTCATCATTTTCTGTAAATAAGCAACTTTCCAAACTCGGTCTACAGAATTTGACTTTTTAAAAACTTCATAGTTTATTGTAATAGCTATACCTTCCCCTTCAACCTTAGTTCTTAGATGGTACTAAAACATCCCAATGTTTTGAGATTTTTCGTCTCTGCTCCCCAGTGTATTAAGAGGTGATGAAATTGCAGGAAAATATCCTACACTGTTTTACAATCTTATAGCTAAGTAGATAAAATTTGAAATATAAATGTAGAGCTACCACCAAGACATTCTAGTTTTGCATCAATATTCTCAGCATTTTCCCAATCAAACATAAGGTATTTTCAAGTAATTCAACCAATTCAATTTCTTTTGAGGGGGAGGCCATGCCCTATGGTGCTCAGGAGATATCCCTGGTCATACCCGGGATACCAGATAATGTGCCAGGGAATCAAGCCTGGGTTGGCCACATGCAAGGTAAGTGCCTTAGCCATTGTATACATCATGATCTTGAGTCACATAAATGAGCTATTTACTGAATTATATAATTGGCTATGTAGAAGAACTCTGAACATGAATTCATTGTCATGAAGGTGATTTCTCAGAAAGGCAAATCGCTGATAGGATTTTTTCCTTGATGTTAGGTTTTATTGTTGTCAATATCATTTTGGTGTTTGGACCATATCTGATAGTGCTTGGGAGTTACTCCCTCCTCTATGCTCAGGGTCCACTCCTAGCGCTTCTTAGGGCCCACGTGATCCATCTGGGACCTCCAGCATGCAAGGCATGAACTCCAGCACTTTAGCCACTTCCCCAGTCCCCATGCTAGATTTTTAAACTAAATTTTCTATTTTTTATAACTGGCACACCTCATCTTACTCTAGTGCTAGCTGCAAAAACAGTAAATATGAAAACTATCTTCATTTACCGGAGCAGATGAGTGCCCAGCCTCCCAATCAGTACAAAGGAGAGAATTTCAGAGCACAGCCCTAAATTTGACTGAGATCCTAAATTTGACTGAGAATTCTAAATAAAATTATGCTCTGAAATTCTCTCCTTTGTACCGATTGGGAGGCTGGGCACTCATCTGCTCCGGTGTGGAGAGGTCCATGGCCCTAAGGTAGCCTCTGTCTCCTTCCGCTGCTGCTGATAAATGAAACTCAGCTCCCTCTGCTTGTTCCAGGGTCTTTATTTCTACCTGCGCCTGTTCATGTTCTCACTTGTCTCGCCAGGGTCTCTTATATTCCAGGTTCCAATTTCAAAATTCCTTTGAGTCCTCTTGCTTCTCTTAGTGTCACTTCCTTTCCTGAGCACAGAGCGGAGCTCAGGTGCTTGAAATTTTAGGAAGTCATCCACCGAGATCTGCCCTTAGGTTTCTCCCAGCAGCCGTTGCTGCTCTTCTGCTTAAACCAAGGCAAATACAGCTTTGTCTGTGAAGACTTGGCCCTTCTACACCACATCCTGAGTGTGAAGATGGTATCATCCTATGTATATCTGTATAGTGACTAACTCCCAACACCAGGGCACCCACTGGCCCTGAGCAAGACAGAAACTTACCTTCTCTGAAATCATTTCTTTTTGTCCTCTGTGTGTGTGTGTGTGTGTGTGTGTGTGTGTGTGTTTCTGTGGTACATTCGTACGAGGGTTTTGCTTTCATTTCTGCTTTGTATTTCCAGATCCTTACAAATGCCAAGCAGGGCTCTGAAACAGAAGCCAGTTCAGTCTTGGTTAGAAAAAAGTGAGTTAGTGCAGAATAAGTCTTAACAGATACTGGCAGCAACATGTAACTTTCTCCAGACTTACTCAGAATACAGAAAGGCAATAAAAAGGGGAATATTTTTCTCACAAAAAGGATCTCATGTTCTCACTGCCTTTGTCCCATGGGAGAAATACCGCATTACAGAGGTCATAAAATAAGTTAGAACCAAGAAATCATGGCCACACCAATGTCATGGAAATTACTGCCCATACTTCCTTCGAGGAGTTTCATAGTTCCAGGTCTAATCCTGGCATCTTTATTCCATTTCGAGTTCATATCTGGGAGTGATGTGAGACAATGGTCTTACTGCATTCTCTTTTCTGGGATTGTCCAGGTTTTTTCAGTACTATTTTTTGAAAACGTTGTTCTTTTTATATAGTCTTGACTCTTTTGCTGTAAACTGACTGACCACCTCCATGTGAGATCATTTCTAGGATCTCTTTCAAACCATACTGCTTTGGTTACTGCAGTTTTTTAATGTATTTTGAAATTAGGTGCGGGGTGGTGGGGGGTGCAGAGCAATAGTACAGTGGGTAGGACATTTGCCTTGCATGTGGCCGACCTGAGGTTTTGTTTGTTTGTTTGTTTGTTTGTTTAATTTAATTGAATCACCATGAGATAGTTACAAGCTTCCATGTTTGGGTTACAATCATACAATGATCAGACACCCATTCCTCCACCAGTGCACGTTCCCCACCATCAATATCCCCGGTATACCCCCCCTTTCCCACCCTCCTTCTGCCTCCATGGCAGACATGATTCCCCATAATCTCTCTCTACTTTTGGGCTTTATGGTTTGCAATACAGACTCTGAGAGGTTATCATGTTTGGTCTTTTATCTACTTTTCTGCACACTTCTCCCATCCCAACAGATTCCTCCAGCCATCTTTTTCTTAGTGATCCCTTCTCTACTCCAGCTGTCTTCTCCCCTTTGCTCAAGAGGCAGGCTTCCAGCTATGGAGCAATCTATCTGTCCCATATATATACTATCCTTAGGTGGCCGATCTGGGTTTCATCCTCAGCATCCCATTTGGTCTCCCAAGCACTGCCAGGAGTAATTCCTGAGTGCAGAGTCAGAAGTAACCCCTGATCATCACCAGATGTGATTCAGAAAGAAAAAAAATGTTTAAAAAATTTTGTTCACTTCAGCAGCACATATACTAAGATTGGAATGATAGAGAGGAGACTCGCATGGTCCCTGCACAAGAATGAAATTAGGGAGCTTGCTATCACCAGCTTTGTTCTTTCTCAAAATTATTTGGATTATTAGGGTCCTTTGTGGTTCCACACAGATTTTAGAATTATTTGTATGACATCATCTGTAAAAAGAAAATGCTCTTGGAATTTTGACAGGGATTTCTTTCAGTCTATAGATTGTGCTGGGTGAAACCCAACAGTTTAGTAATATTTATTCTTTTATTTTATGAGCATGAAATATATTTCCTTTGCAAAATATATTTGGTCTTTGAGTTTTTCCAAAATTAGATTTAGATTTCTCTGAGTAAGTCTTTTGCCTCTTTGATTATTCCTATGTATGGTATTCATTTTTATGAAGTTGCAAGTGGAGTTATTTTCCTCTCTCTCTCTCTCTCTTTCTCTCTCTCTCTCTCTCTCTCTCTGTGTGTGTGTGTGTGTTTTTGGGCCACATCTGGTGATACTCAGGGTTTTCTCCTGGCTCTGTGCTCAGAGATCACTCGTGGTGGGGTTTAGCAGGTTATATGTAATGCTAAGGATTGAACCCAGATTAGCTATGTGCATGTGAGTACCTAACTGCTGCACTATCTCTCTGGTCTATTTTTAAAATTTCTCTTTCTGGTAACACATTATTAATGTTAGAAATACAACCCTTCAGGGCCGGAGCAATAGTACAGTGGAAAGGACATTTGCATTGCATGCAGCTGACCTGGGTTCAATTCTCAGCATCCCATATAGTTCCCTGAGCACTGCCAGGAGTAATTCCTGAGTACAAACCCAGGAGTAACCTCTGTGCATCTCCGGTGTGACCCAAAAAGCCAAAAAAAAAAAAAAAAAGGAAAAATAAAAAAAAAGAAATACAACCCTTTTTTATTTTAGTTTTAGGGCAATGCCCAGCAGTGCTCAGGGCTTATTCCTGGCTCTGTACTCAGGAATCCTCAGGACAGGGCTCAGAGGATGATATTGGGTGCCGGGGATTGAACCTGGGCCAGCCATGTACAAGGCAAGTGCCTACCTGCTGTACTATCTCTCCAGACCCTCAATAATTTTTCTGATAAACAATAGTAGGATAGTGTCCGGTGTCTGAATTTTCAATTAGGCTTGGAACATGAGGAAAACCTTTCTCTTTCAATAATTCTAGTTCTTATCAAGTCAAACGTCTTCCATTTTCAAGATTCTGTTTTGGTTTTGGAGTCAATCCGTTTGCTATGGATGCTGTTACAGAACACAGGGGAGGTTGGCACAGTGTATTTGCTGAGAGTTCTGAAGTACAAACTCAAGATCTAGGTGTTGGCATGGTTGTCTTTTACTGAGCCTTCTCTCCTTGGCTTGCAGGTGGTAACCACTGGGTCCCTGTCACCTTAAATGGTCTCTCTTCTACATCCTCATCTCTCCCTTTAAAGACTCCTGTTAAATTGGATTCAGACCCATGCATTTCACTGAACCTCTCCTTAGGATTCTTTAAAGGTTCTATCCCCAGGGGCCAAGACAAGTTTTATCCTTGGTCTTACATGCAACTGACCTGGGTTTGATCCCCGGCACCACATGTGGCCCACTGAGTACTGCCAGGAGAGATTCCTGCGCAGTCAGTAATAATCCCTAAGAACAGCTGGGTTTGAACCCTCCCCCCCAGGAAAAAATAAGGGCACTGTCTCCAAATCTGGCACATTCTGAAGTTCTGAGCATTGGAGCATCAATATGGAAATTCCATGTGGGTACAAGTCAGACTACAATATAAACTCATCTCTTCAGAAATACAGTTGATGTCTGAGTTTTGCTTGGTCTTCTTTCTGCCCTGTTTTCTCACGGGCAAATGAATACAGATTGTGCCAGTTCATTCTGTAGTTGAAGAGTGTCAGAAATCACCATGATTTTCGTGACTCACTTAAACCCCTTCTCACTCTTCTCTCATGTTCCCCATATTTTCTCTTCTCCAGTACAAAAAAAATTTACTCCTGGCTCTGTGCTTTCTGGGTGTGGCCCAACATCGCCCCCTCCCCCACAAAAATAAAACAAAGTCAGGGGTCAAATAGATAGTACAGTGCGTAAGGTACTAGTCTTACATGCAGCAACCTCTGTTCAATCCCTGGCACTGCATGCGATCCCTCAAGCATCACTAGGAGCAATCCCTGAGCACAGAGTCAGAAGTATGCCCTGAGCATAGCCAAAAACGGGAGAGGGAGGGGAACATAAGTCAGTGGCATTTAGTGATTTTCCTGGTCAACATATATAACAAGTTATGCCCTCCGCCACGACACCTCCATGCAAACACACCTTTTCAAATTCTTTTTTTGAAAAGACCTATTTCAAATAATAAATAAATAACAAAGGACTTTTCTGAATGATGTTGTGTCCACACCTGATGTTAATTCATTTAATACTCTGAAAGCTAGCAGGTTTTTATTATTATTATTATTATGATTATTACTACTACTGTGGTGTTGATTTAAGTCAGAGACATCACTTTCTCCTTTTGAATGTGTTCTTCTTTTCCTTTTTGGGCCACATCTGGCTACGCTCAGGGGTTGCTCCTGGCTCTGCACTCCTGTTGGTGCACAGGGGAACATATGGGACGCGGAGGATTGAATGCCAATCAGCCACGTGCAAGGCAGACGCCCTACCTGCTATACTATTGCTCTAGCTCCAATAGATCTGAATTTTTGTGACTTGCGTCTCCACAGGGATCTTTCACAGTTGCTTTTGCTTCTAAAATCCCATTGTCTTTCTGCCTGAAAGTCCGGAGAACATTTCTTGCCCTGATTTTGTGCACCATTTCTATCCACCTACCCTCAGCTACTAGGGATGACCCCTTGCTTGCTCCTTCCTACAGGCTTATTCCAGTTTTCTTTTCTTTTAATTTGGGGGGCCACATCTGGTGTTACTCAGGACTTACTCCTGGCTCTGTTTTCAGGACTCATTCATGGTGGGCTCAGGGGACCATACGGGTTGCCAGGGACCAAACCTGGGCCAGCCGCGTACAGGGCAGATGCCCTACCTGCTGTACTATCTCTCTGGCTCCTGTTCTAGCTTTTCTGTGATTGCTTCTTCTAGCCCTGACCTTGACCTCACCTGTGGCATTGTCTATCACTGTGATGTAACACTGACTGCAAATAGTCGCCAGCACACCACGAGATATTGGAAAGAATTCTCTTGCTACATAAAAGTCAATCCCACAACAGAAAGATTGTCTCTTGAGTGCTAAGATCCAATGTTAGTGTTTGGGTTCCCTAGGGCTTGTAAATTATATGTATTAGTCAGCACGTATTTTAGGGTTGTTTTGTCCCAGTAAACAATGGCATTGTGAAAAACATCTCTATTTCTAATATCTTTTATCTATTACACAACACTCCATAAACCTGGCTTATTCATCAGTTATTAGGAGGCAGCTCTCTGCTTGCAGACCAGAGATTATGATAGGCCTGTCATTTTATTTGATCTTCTTTTGTTTTTAGCTCTTTTTTTTTCTGTTTAAGTGCCCGAAGCCCTACAGGCAGGAGCACCTTTAAATTCAAATGCATTGTTATTATTCCAGACCACACATGTTCGGTTCTTCATGTGGCTTTGAGTTTTTGCCGCTGAAATGGTTGTGCGTGATATTCTCATGGTGAGAAAATGTGTCCCACTCAGACTGTTTTGCAGAAAACTCTTTTGTTCCCTCAGGCAAACGTGGCACAGTTTCACGCAATGTTCGGTTGAGCTAACCCAGATTCTCTCCCCAAGGTTACTTTTTAAATTCTTGTCAATCAGTTGAATAAAAGGCACCTGACTTCAGAGTAGCCAAATAATCCTCATTTCTTGAGGCGAGTGTGTGTCCCCATGGCGGGGAGCTGAGGAGAGAGAATGAACTCATTCCAGGGTATCCTGACGCCAGCAAGGTCTCAGCATCTTCAAAGATTGCCAGGGTTGGTTCTCCATAGAAGATAATCAGGCTCCAGAGAGATGCCTCAGTATTTGTTTTCACTAAATCACTGTATATGTTTTCGAAGGATTCAGAGCACATCGGTGTTATAGTTGTAAGGAATATGGCTTCCTCCTGTGCTGAGGTAAACCAGTTTCAGGAGTTGCCCTCAGAGATGCTTGTTCTGGTCCACACACACCTGTTCCATATCTGTTCCTTAGTCTCATTCCATCTCCTCAAATGCCAGCCTGACATATGCCAGGCTGCTCTGCCGCCACCAGCCATCCTCTCCAGAAACACCAGCACAGTCTCACCTCTGGGCTCCTGTACTTGGCAGTTTTCTTCCCTCAGGAATGGACTCTCACCAATGTCCCCACCAAAGTTTACTCATCTCTCAGGGTCAGTCTCCTACCAGGAAATTCTAAACTATAAGAGAGAAGAGGATCTGTCTGGTAGCCCTCAGTTCTGGCCTATAATAAGTTCTAATGTAGGGGCTGACGCGATAGTACAGCAGGTAAGGTGCTTGTCTTGCACATGGCCAACCCAGGTCCGATTCCCAGCATCCTATATGGTGCCCTGAGCACCACTAGGAGTAATTCCTAAGTGCAGAGCCAGGAGTAATCCCTGTGCATTGCCAGGTATGACCCAAAAAGGGTGGGGGGGAGTTCTAATGTATTTATTGAATGACTAGGCAAAGAAGGAGAGAGATTTTAGACTTGGGCTATGGATGGAAGCAGGAGTCAGTGCTGGGGTTCCAAATTTCAGGATCATGTACTTGGGGTATATAAGAGAAGGTCAGACTGGGCTTTTGCCAGAGTGAACAGGCCCACAGGGCAGCTGGATTCTTGTCTCGTTCATCCGCTGGGTGCTTAGTAAGGCCCCTGGAGATGCTTCACAGTTCATTCTGATTTTTGAGCCCTCTGCTCTTGAAACTTGGAGCCTCATAGGGGGATTCAACACAAACAGCAAAGACTAAATACGTGTCAATGTCACTCAAGGCGGCAGAGAAAAATTCAGTTGGATGAGCAGAGGGAGGGAACCGGTCATGAGGGAAGGTGTTAAAATGAGTCTCTGCTGAGAAAACAAAAGGGAATGCCCTGCCACAGAGGCAGGGTGGGATGGGGGGAATGGGGGATGGAGGGATTGGGATC